TTTTTGGGAGAAAATGTATTAGTTGAAATGACGACATTACTTATTTGGGCATCATTTTAGGAGACGGTCTTTCACAACACAAGGAGCGGGTGAGTTTGAGTGGAGAAAAACTTCCTTATTTCCATTATATTCTCTTTCTCTACTTATTTCTTTTTTCATGCAACGGAGTACACAGCAGTATCTCTCAGCTCGAATTCCTGAATCACTTGTGAGTTAATTGCGGAATGAGGAATCTCTATAAAAAGTTCTTGTGAGTGACAAATATTAACTTATGTTCGAGTGCAACTATAACTTTTGTCGTGGCCCTTGGCAACTAGGGATTCAAATTAACTATTATGAACATAATTTGTATAGCAATAAACTTTATCAATCGATCTATGCAATATCATTATGGCGTTTCCATTCATTAGTCTATCAAATATTGTTGCAACTAATTATAATTATATACACACGATTACAAAACAATGGAACAATTGAGAAGAATGAGAGAGAGAATTACTTAGTGTCTCGACACTGCTCACATGCACATGCCAACAAGTTTTCTTTCTTATTCTGGTTATAACTAGCCTCTTCATACGCGTTTCCGTTCCTGTGAGAGGCTTTTTTTAAAAAAAATTTAAATTTAGTTTAGAATTTAAAAAGATAATGGGTAGTTATGTTCCATAAAAATATGATCCATTATTTAATTTTTTTTAATATAAAAAAGTGTGAATTTATCATATTAGCCTCATTTAATTAATAATTTCAATTCTTTTAATGTTTGCATTAACCAATGACATTTTCTGGTATTTTGAATGTTTTACCATTCTTTGCCCTTTTGCTTTATATATATAGATAAGGAAGCTAATACTTTTACAAAAGCCAAAGAAAGATATTCAACTTTCACCATTTTACACCCTTCTTTTTACAGCTTTCTTACAACAAATGGTACATTTGGGTTTTTTTTTTTACAAAAGTTATATCAAAATCCCAAACTTCTTCCTATCAATGTAAATGTCATTGTCATGCATGGGATTAGGATTTAGGGTTTGGGACGGATATACGAGTCTTCAAGCTGCAAGCTTGGCTAGGGCTCCAACTGCGAGCGAATTCACGTAAGTGCATGGCTCAGTATACGATGAAGCCCAACGTTTGTCCTCGAAGTTATCAAACCTGTCTGGCCCACCGACGATGGCCCCAGTCAGCTCATTAGGGTTTGGCACGTCCTTCTTGAACCAGTACACAAAGCTCATGGCGCAGCTGACGCCGTTACTTCCAGACGTTGGCACCGAAGCTCCTCTGTGGTGAGGCTGTTTGGGAGCGTTTGGTCCAAAGCCAACCATGTAGGATCTTCCTTTAGGGTTTTGGCCCAACAGATAGTCCATTTGCTTCTTGGCAAAGGCAGCTACGGCTACAGAGTCAAATTGTTTGCCTCCGCAGTTCACTTTTTGGTTGTGGTTGGCCAGCAGGTCGCTGTAGACGCTGAACAAGAAGGCGGTACCGGTGACGTATTGGGTGTTGGCGCCATCTCTCAGGTGGATCAAGCCGCCTGGTGACATTGTGATTTGGTTGTAGGGGCTGTCTGGGAGGTTTGAGCAAATGTAACTTTCTGCTTGGTTCTTGTAGTTTTCTAGGGTTTTTTCTCCTTTAAAGAACAGCTGCAATGTACAAAAAAATAAATCAAACTCCGTTAATCGTAGTTTTTATATTCGATTATCAACAACGAGTTTGCAATAATGATCAGTTGAGATGGTACAAATAGTTTTTTGTTTGATATTGGTTTAAATTAAGCACCTTGGTGAGAAGGATTTGGGCTCCGGCGTATTTAAGGTCCCAGCTAAACTCATTCACACTAGCGCTGATGGCTTCTTCTTGGATGTACTTTAGATACATTGGCTTCCTTGAGGCCATGTACAACCATGTTGCTGCCCACAATAGCTCATCCTATATTTGCAACATTCAATTTTTAATTACTTTTTTCAAAATAAAAAAAAGTTCACTCATTATTTCAAAATCAAATTACTTTTTTTTAAATAAAAAAAAACACCCACAAATTTAAAATGCATTCAATTTGTAGAGGGAGAGAATTGAAGAAAATTACATTGTAGCCAGAGTAAGAACAGTAGAAGGGGCATTCTCCATCGTAGGTTCCTTTATGAGATTTAGCAAGTTGGAAAAGCTACACACACACAAACACAAAATAATAATATCACATATCATTAATTATATAACATAACATTAATATAAAAAATTAATTGGGATTGGAAAATAACGTACCAGTTTGGCTTTGTTGAGGAGGCGACGAGAATAAACACGATCAATGCTTCTAAACACAATTGCAGAAGCAGCCATTGCAGCTGAGGTTTCAGCTGCAATTTCAGTTCCAGGTGTTTTCTCATTGATCTCCAACACAGTTCTTGGTGTCTGCATATCTTCTGGTCGAACCCAACATTGATGGTCCTGATTAGGGTCTCCCACCTTGAATAATTATCATAAATATATAACAACACAAGTTAATTACCATAAAATATTTTTGTTCAAACTTTAAATACCAATTCATATAAATTCCCACCTGAACGTATAATCTGCCTTTTCGAGCACTGGCTTTCAAAAAGTAATCGGTGCCCCATTTTATGCCGGAGAGAACATTTTCCAGTTCCCCGGTAGCTTGAAGCTGTGTCTTGTAAAAGATGGCAGCCCACGACAGAGTTGTCACCGTGAAAGCCATCGGAAGACCGTACTTGACGTTGTCCCCGGCGTCATAGTATCCCCCAGAAAGGTCAACCTACATTAATCGAATGTTACATACGAATAATTCGAAGGGATTGTACATGTTGTGAGGAAGAATGTCATGTGACATGTGACGGTGTGACATGAAGATTTAATCCTTATAGAAAGAGAAAGAGAAACGAACATTTGCTTGTTTTCCGTCGTCGATGGCAGAGTCACCCCTCCATGCAAGTCTATTGTTGGTAGGGAGCTTCCCGGACCTTTGAGCCTCAAGGAAAATGATGGACTTGGTGAGGGCGTCCTTGTAATTTAAATCACCATGAGCATGAACACAAAGCACGAGTCCTTGAAAGATAGCAAGGCATGCCACAATGGCTGCCCACGTTCTTATGGCTTGCGGACCCATATACCCTTTTGAAACCCAATTACTATTGAGAAAGCTGCAAAAAAGAAGGGATGAGATGAAAATTCCCCAATGCTGCCTACTTTAATAATGAATTGAGGGAGGGAAAAAAAAGGAAAGAAGGGAATGGTTGTGTTTTCTGTTTAGGGATTGTATTTGTTTTAGACAACAGGTAATTTATGAGGTGGTGGCTAAGTGGCTCTGGTTAATTGGTTTTAGTTTGTGATGGCGGGAAAGTTTAAGGGAGTAAATTAGCCAGGTAGAGGTTAGGGATTAAAGCTAATTATGTGTATGGTTGTGGGATTTGGGGTGAAGAGGGAGATTGTGGGGTTGGAATCAAACAATTTTGTTACCCTTTTCTATACTTGAATAAATGGTACACATCCAGGGAGTTTGGTTGGTTGGTTTGTTTTGCTAGCATTTAGAAAGGGGTTTTTTTTTAGTGTGTTTTGAGAAGCTCAAAATAGTAAAATGAGCAAGCATCCATTACAAGTCTCTAGATTTGGTGAATTTCCTCTCTTCTTTTTTCTCCCTCTCCTTGAAATTTGCTCACTTCTTTTTGGGATTTACTTGGAATTCATAATTTTCTACCTCTTAATTATATTTAACAGAAATAGATCTCAGAAGGTTTATATAGGAAATGAATTTTGATGGGTACAATTATATAATAGAGGTATACAATATGATCTACCAATTACCAACTGGTCAAATTGAATTATGTAACATGTTAGTGGCATCTTAAATTCCTTGTCAATTGACGTGGGATATTGAATTCAACTCCTCATAAAAAGGTATGATTGTTCTCTTCATGGTGCAAAGGGACGGACATTTTGTTGAATTCAAAGCCACATGTTTATTTCCTTTCGTATTTGATGGACGGCAAGTTTTCTAGAGGTCTGGTTTATAGCCCCATGGAGCATGCCATGATGGATGGCCAAGTTTCACCAGAAGAAAAGAGATGTATCTCCGTCACTTTTCCTTTGTAAACGATCTTTAATTGGGACGTAAAGTTGTCCATATAGTGACATTTCTCTTCACAATGTTGAAACTCGATTCTCTATTCTCTCATTAGTTACAAAATATAGAAAATTCAGTTTAAGTCCAAAATCGAAAACAGAAGTTGGATGCAATCCTCGTATTTGTTGTTGTTGATACAAGTCCTTTGACTTTTGTGCCACATATGATTACATTCTTTTTTTAAATTTTTTGATATTTACATATTATTTTTTTCATTTTTAAATTACTTTGTTATTCCCATCATGCCCCAAACAATTAAATAAGGTAAGAAATTAATTTTTGTCATAATAATTATGATATTGTCAAAATAATATAAACGGAAAATACTGCCACAAATCACGTCTCCTATAATTTTTGAAATAGCTATTATATTTCAATCATACTCCTATATGAACATTGGCTTTCTTTCTGTTGTGGTTTTGTATTCTTGCACTATGGCAACATAAATATTCTTTTACTCTTTGCCACAGCTTTTGTTATTCACTGATTTTGTTTGTTTGTTTTCTTATTTGATAATACAATTCCTCATTGTTTTACTTTTGATTTTGTTTAGCTCACATTTTTTCTTCACGTTTTTGTTTTTGTAAAGTTCATTCCCACCTAATATCTTTAATTAAGATGCAATTAACCATTAACACAAGTGGGTTTTGCGTTTCCCCCCATATCATTTTCGATTCCTTTGTTTCTTGATAGTTAATTATCTTCCACTTTTTCCTATTTTTCCCATGTTTTTGTCGTGGCGTTTTACAATTATTGGTTGTATCACTCAAATCCACACATTTATCTAAAATCTACATGTTTATCAGGTATAGTAAAGTATACTACTTATGTGTTAGGTACATTATGTTATATTTACCTAGTAATTAAATGAACCATTTCAGCAACGTCTAATAATATTAGCAACATTTCTGCCAATCTCTTCTTTACTTTGCTCCGACACAGGTAGATCTCCGAGGTACATGTCAAAGAAAGCCCCTGAAAGTACAATTGTGCATTAGAAATATATCCCCCACAAAAGTATACGATTGGATTCTCTTCACCAATTTCATGGAGACGTGATGAGATATAAAACTCCAAGGAGAATTTCGAAATAAAACAGATTGTTCAAAAGGACAATTCACTTACTGCACAGATCCTTGCTGTGGACTGCTCCAATCTGATTACCTTCAACTGCAAAATTTCATACAAAACTCTAAGCAAACAAAACCTTCAACTGGTAAATAGAGCATTAGAAGCATACAGAAAAGAGTAGTGAAGAGAATTGGGAAGCAGGGGAGGGTTCTGGGGTCTTTTCAAGCTGTATACTTTGTGCTCAAATTGCCATCATGGTTAAGCCATGACAGATGTATTATTAGCATAAACCAAATATAATATTTCAAAGCTATCCCCACTCACTTTTGGTAATTAATTTTCCATCAGCTGTTCGTTGAAAATCAATTGTTGTTCCCTGAAATATTCCAAAAAGTTAAGTAATTTGGTGATCACTTAATATAAAAAAGAAATGCAAGAGTAATATAGTTTACCGCTGGCAACGGAATATCTTGTGTAAAGTTTGAACGGAATGTTGTTATGCAATGGAAGTCAGTCTCTGGGTTTGTCTGAAAAAAAAAAAAGGTCAACAAAAATGAAAAGAATTAGCGAATACTAGATCAGAAACACAAAACAGCGATTCTATAAAGGGAGATGATTTACCTTCACCAATCGGGCTCGAAGGGATTTCTCAAAGGCACTGCATCAAGTATAATCCAGAGGACACAAATGAGAATGAATAAAACTAAATTTCAATTTTCAACATTGTTGTAACATGTCTAGGATACATAGTGAGAAAGGAACAAGGCTAACTTAGCTCAAACTAAGCTTAGGTAACATGGTATATTAACTTGCACAATCAGTTTTTGGTTTCAGATGATAAATGAGTTAAGAACTAGTAAAAAATTCTAGCTCGTACGTCTAAAGCCTAAATTTATCCCACAGCATAGCTGGTTATGCCATCCAAGTTCAGCTCAACTCACAAAATTTATCGCAAACACACCACCCATTTCCATGTGAGCCTACCCAAACCACTACAAAACATGGAGCTAACCGAGATAGTATCATAACAAAGATGATATCTGAAACAGGTGAATATATGCACAATGAGCTAACCTAGCAATGAATATTTAAGAACAGTAATCTTCTATCAGTAAGAAGCCAAGAAGATTATATCAAAACGAAAAAAGCCTCAAGATTGTCTATGTCCCAATTAAAATAGGGACATCCAAACCCATATAAATATCCAAGGGGATGCTGAGACAGAAATATAACTTACTCTCTCACAGTATTGATTTTCATCCCATTGCAACTAACCACAAGCCTAACTGTCATATCAATATCCGCCCTGTAGGCAAAAAAGTAGCAGAAAGTTGATCAAAACCAGAAACTTAGCAGCAGATCCATGAAAACTAATTGAACAACTTGAGCAATACGGGACTCATGCCAACACAAGCTTGGAAAGAAATTAGAAAGCAAAAAAAAGGATTTAGTATGTACTGATTATATCGATCTTAATTCACCACTAAAATATGTCTGAGAAATATAGAGAATTACTCCATGTAGCATGATAGTTGTCCATACCTGAGAAGATCCTCATAAAAATCATGGCGTTTGTTTAGTTCGTCTACTGAAATAGAAGCATATTTTGACCCCAATTTCTTGCAAACAGAGTAAGGATGAACATCTATATAGAAATAATAGATAAATAAATAAGAGAGCAAATAAGATAATGGATGTAAAAAATATTAGACTGGAAGTAACAAAGAAATACTAAAAACTTACAAAAACCAAACGCATAGATCTTCAGAGATTTTATTTTAATTATTTTCATTGTTCTGGATCCAGTTCCCACAAGGACCTGCAATGGTAAAATGTTAATATTAAATTGAGCAGCTGTGAACATACACCCAAATCAAGAAGAAGAAAAGTACAACCCCCACCCAAATTTTATTTATTAAAAAAAAAAAAGAGCAAAACAGAAAAAGGACTCCAAGTGGTAACCTCTGAACTTAAACTGGAATTATTATTTCCTGTTAAAATATTGTCCAATATCATAGGAAACTCAATGCCAGTTCTAGGCTCCACTGCATGTCTTCTCCAGTTCAAGTCAGGAAATGGCAATCCTGCGCATCCTTGATGTCCAACCTCACACGGCCTTTGATCCATGGTATCAGTATTCTCCAATGGAACAGCTAGTGCATTTGAAGATCTGGTAGCAATTAACCAAAAAAAAAAAAAAAGATTTTGCTGATCAACATCAAAAGTAGAACCCATGGGAAATTTTGCACTTGAATCTACTCCCTTGTGAAGGGTTTAAAGACTTACAAGCTGCCAAAAGGTGGTACAAGTCCAGAAGCTAACGAGAGCATGGGATGTGAATGTAGCTTTTCAGCTTCTCTTTGTAGGAATTGCATTACAAAAGCCGAAATCTTACCAAAAACCACTGAGTTAGCAGATTCTCCTTTTGATGCAAAACCAAAGTGAAATCCTATAAGATTTTGCCGACCAGAAGTAATATGTTTAACATGTGAAGATCTGGAGCTTCCGGGTTGAGAACCATGCCAATTACCCTCTATCTCTCTAGTAGCATTTGTATTGGGCCCACAAGAGAAGAAACATAGTAAAGCACCAGCAAGCTTAGAAATGTGATTAAATGCTCCTTCGAGAGCTAAGCTTCCAGGGACATGAAAGTATCTACACTGGTGCAATGAATTGTCCATAAACAAACCGATCTGTGAAAACATATGACCCCGAAAACTATGCAAAATGAGAGGCTCGACAGGAAAGTTGTACGGAGACCCTTCATCAAGATCCATGAACCCAAACCGCTTAATCTTCATGTTTTTCAATGTCCTATAATTCTACCTGAATTGGCACTTAAACCTTCCTCAACAGAAAAATTGAGTTAAAGATATAAATCAAGACAAATACGATACGATACACCTGCAAAAAGTCACAATGACAAAGGTTCTGTCATTAAATTCAGAAAACGCAAAAATAAAAACATGCATACATAACAACTCTGTAAGACAGCATCATGAATACAACATGAAAAAGAAATGTTAGTGCAGCTTATGAACGTTGCTTTTGAGGTAAAATTACAGCTTAAAGATATGCTAAATCCATTAAATATTGATTGGTATGATGCAAAGAATTTGATATTAATGGGCGTAAAATTCGTGCTTCAAGACCTAAATTCAATGCCACATAACACAGACAGAATTGCCATTGTTAATTCGTTAACTTCCAAAACATTAAACACAAAATTACATGATCATGCAACTACTCAAAATTATAATCAAATGTTAATTGGTGTCTCTTTTTATTGTTCTTCAAAATAATTAAAGAATATTGAAAAGGAATATAGGAAAGAGAGGAAATGCAAGAAAGTGGATTTCGAAAGCACTTTTCTTTGGCATTCGTTTTTGCTTTCTTTTCCGTTTCCCTTTCCCCATTATTCCCAAGAACCAAACAGAAAATAAAAAGCACCCGGAGAAAAGAAGAGAAACCAAGAAAAGAACCTGGGATTGCAAATTTGTAACGAGCGAGCTTCTGGGTCTAGATCAATTGGTTTCATTTTGATCTTCACTGTTTCTTCTGCATTAAAAAGTTCGGTTTTTGACGTGTAATTCAGGAAGAAAGTGGACGAAAGAGAAAGAAATATGCTTTGGGTACGAAACGGGAACAAGTCACGGTTGATTCAAAAGCTTTCTCGGGTCAAAAATGGAAAAACAGAAAAGAAGAAAATATTTTCCGCAAAAAAAACTCTTTTCGCGTTTTTTCTATAAACAAAAAAGTTGGCACATTTTTTTTCCCCGGTGGACGGCAAATAAACGTTTCAGATTCTGAAATGACGATTATATCCTTGAGTTGTATGTGTCAATGCTGTCTTCCCCTGTGGCTGTCTTTTTCGTACACGTGTTTTCAAATCCCAGTCGGCAGGGTTGACGAGATCCTTCTTTTAATAAAAGGGAATAAAAGTACCTCCAAAAAAAAGGGAACAAAAGTATATGCAGTGCATTTCCCATGCTTTTACCGGGGAAAATAATAATTAGAATTTTCTCTGTTTTTCTTGGTGAGTTTATTTCTGTTGAGTCTTTGACCGACCAACCAGTTAGAACTATTTGGTCGGAAAATGCCTGCTGCAGTGTCCTAAAATCATATGATCTTTGACAAGTAAAACATAAACATATGACAGCCGACCTTGTCTTGTTTTGTTAGACGACATGGACCGACTTATTAGTTCATTCACCAACTTATTAGATCAATGTTTTACGGAAAAAAATTAAAGAACCATGAAATCATCATTCTTGAAAGGCTTAACAATCATTTTATATATTATAAAATGGCTCTTCACAAATAAGCCTGTCTTGACACTCACAAGTGGAACAGGATTTAATTGAAATTAAATGCTAAAAATCAAGGAATCTGAGAGCTCAAAATGTGATATTCTTCAAAATACAATCTTTTGTTGGCCCTGAAAACTGGTCCCTGGTCACAATAAACCGGCCTCGAACAGATTTCTCCGTCTCAACGTCTCGTCCACAAGCTTGAAAGTCTTCTTCACAAGCTTTTGATCAAGGGCAGTGGTTCTATAGATCTTAAACACCCGGTCCACACGATCCGGGGTCGTGCTCTGAAAGTACAATTCCTCAAATTTTTTCTTCACAAACCTGAATGCAAAATGTTTAACAATGTTCAGCTTTCATTTTCTAAAAAGAGATGTGCAATGGTTATCAATCTATGCAAATATGCAAACAGTTAAAACAGAGATTAGAGGTTCAGGAAAACAACAAAGTAGGTCACACTAATAATTGAGATCTTTATTATGAAAATGGTTGCAAGTTAGTGAAGCTTTCAGCCAGCTATAGGCCCTCATATTTCGGCGACAGTTCAGACAAAGACAGTTTGGCAGCATTTTGGAGGTTTGCTATAGCTAAATACGTGTACTCTTTAGTAGGGTTTATTCCTTTCATCCAAATCAAAGGACCACAAAGATGTTTATGCTTACTCATATGCATGTTCAATCTCTTGCTTTCCCGTTGAAACTGGCTGGTAATCTTTGAACCACTCACACACGTTAAGTGGAACCTACACAATTAAATGTCAACAACCCATACAGTTGTTAGTTTGTTGCCACTGAATGAATAACCGTACACTGATTTACTAGCTCTTACGTTTAGAACCTTCTTCTCGAATATATCGAACTTGTTTAAAAACAGCATGAAGGAGGTTTTCTGCACCCAAAGAAATAAAATAAAATATATTCAAGAGGACATAGATGGAAAAGAGTCAGCTTGGGTTAGATGAAGAAATCTGTGTGGCCGCACATGCGACACACGAGCACAAAAACACAGAAGAAAAGAAAACCTCGAAACATGGTTGCTTCAGGACCCAGTCAAAAAGCTCCTTTGTCTCCATCATCCTATTCTTACTTTCATCCTCAAAGAGTGTTTGATCATACCTGAAACACAATGTCAATCAAGACTACTTCAGTACACACACACACGCACGCACACACACACATATATATATATATATAAAATAATGATATCCATGATCAAAACATGGTAAGATATCTTTGAAGAGAATGACAGACGTAAATGAAAGCAATGGTGATCTTACTCGCTAACAGCAGCACAAAATATTACAGCTGTAACACCTTCAAATAGATGGATCCATTTCCTCCTCTCATTTCTCTGGCCTCCAACATCGAAGAGTCTATATACTTCACCACTTTTCTTATTTTCTCCAACAGGGCTGCAAAATCATAGTAATCACTGAGTCGTTCGTTTGAAATTTCAACCATTCTACACACGAGTTGCACAACCATAGAAGTCTCTTCAAAAGAAATGCATCATACTAATATGTGCACAGTGCATAAGAAAATCATAAACTAAATTAAATTTTAAGGGCATCCTTAAGTTAAATGTCTTTTAGTTCGAAAATCAGCTGAGTTAGAACCAATAAGTGGCATGGTGAGAAATAAGAAGAAATGTAGTAAACGAAACTGCAGAAAACTGAAAGAAGATTTACATTTTAGCTTTTTGTGGACAGAGGAAAAAAAAATAATAATAAACAGTACAAGTATAAAGAAAATGTCAAAGTTCCAAGAAAAAGTCGTGTTGCACCTTATTTTTCAAAGAAAAATAATTACCTGAACTGGATCTCTACAACACCAGTAGTACGAACTCTGGCATAAAGAACATCCTCCTACAATACCACAAAATGCTTACTTTTTGAAAGAGCTATAAATTTGTAACTTTTCCACATTAATGTAAGAAGTTTATAAAGGAACCAGCTAGGAACCAACATATATAATAAATATTCTAGTACCTTATTCAATTAAGGAAATAATCAGTTATAATTGTGAACTTTAGTTACCTTGGTTGGAATGTAATTTGCGTCAGCTAATCTTTGAAGATTTTCCATGAAATAGTTGGCACAATCAGGAACTTGGAGTTCATTACCACGGGCATATGTTTCCTGCAATTGTAGAGTACGGGTCCTTCACTTAGAGCATTGGGTAAAAGACAGAAGCAGATGTGCTAAATAACTGGATTCAAAGCACTAGGATTGATGTCAAACAATTGCGTATGTCAGTTACATTAAGTAACAGCTACCTGAATTGCAGCATCTTTCCAAAGAGTTTCTATATCCTGTGCAAGCTCTTTTGTGAGACGTGGATAATCCAATCTGCTACCAATTTTTGATAGTTTCTCTCCAATTTCCTGATAAAGAATGCAAAGTTTACTAAACATACATGCAGTTTTGTTTTAGCAATGGATTGAGCAAGCCAGAAGCTTGAAATAACAGAAAATTCATACATTGATTTTAAAGACAAATCATATGTTAAAAAGCAGTTAAACCAAATTCCTTCAACTAATGTCAGGTAAATTAAAAAACAAAAACCAGAGAAGGCGATGTAATAGGCAACGAAAGGATGAGGTCAAACCTTATTTTCACTGGATATCTCATACGTTTCTCTGTTATTCTGAGCAAGTTCCTTTGACCCGTCATACAATATCTATTCAAACACATCATGAATACATTAAATTGAAGAATTCAATTCAATTCAGGTTCCTTTGCTCTGAATATGAGTGTTTGCAAGAAAGCTATATTTTCTTCTATAGAGAGCATGCACTAATACTCCTTGTACTATGCAGAAAGGGAAATAACCAACACACCCTTTCAAGTATTGCGTACTTTTATGGTCTGATACACATTGGCATGGATGACTGAGATGTAGCTCTTGAGCTCTGCCTCATCAAATCCAGTTTGAAACAGAAGCTTTATCTGCAAATGGTTTGTGTGTAACAAAAATATAAATATATGCATTGCTAGTATAAATGATAATACTTAAATAGAGAAACGTATACAACGTCTTACCTGCTTAAAAATTGTGGATTTCCCCGACTCACCAGCACCTTAAAACAATAAATTGATCTCAGTATTTGTGGAATTGATAACTATCTCTAAATATGGTTAAAATTAAAATTATAACTGCAATTTTTGAAATGAACAATGTATAAATGCACCAGGCGCTATGCAAACAGTTTAATATCCGACAAGGAAATGCATAATAAAACTCTATTTGTTACTTCCATGGAATAAAGTGAAAGTTTGCAACCCTAACAAGCTCTAACTATTATGAATGTGATTTTGTGTAAACCATAGAAGGTAAAAAGAAACCCATTAAATTTTTGTACCAAGTAGAAGAAGTTTCTGGATATGCTTTTCAGCCTTCGTTTCTTGTTCAATTCGCCTTTCAATTTCTGCAGTCTGGAAATGCATGCATTGACAATAAATTAGAGCCCGATGGTAAATGCAAAGCTGCTCCAGTAACACTTAATCAATGGCATTACAAAGTTTTTATTATATCATGCAGAACTCACCTGGGCATTCTCTTCGTTGTCCGCTTCGTTGTAATGCTTGTTTCTGCTGCAGAGTAAACCCATATTTTCTATTACAATAGATAGCATAGAAGATGCACAAGTCAGCTCCACAACGTGTTAAATGTATCTTCAATTCCCTTCTGTAAAGTTCATACCAAATGGACCTAATCACAAAGCTAGATGTCAGGGGGCACTAAAGAACCTGACCTTAATGACTTCAAACAAACCATTACAATTAAGACACAATGCCACATCAATTCCTAAAATTAAAAAGAACCCATACAACCACTTGGCCATACATTCGTTTCGTGATATTAAGATGGAATTCTAGTGAGACTTAACTTAGGCAAAGCAGAAAAAGATGGTCCAGACTACAATGAAGAAGATAATTAATGAGAAAATATTAACTTTAGATTTGTATACTGATAATAACTATATATATCCTTTTTAAGAATTTAGCTGGGCACCATGGCGTGCATAAACAAACTAAAAAATTACCCATCAGCTAAAGAAATTCTTATTTTCCACAAAAATGAAGATGAAAAAGAAAAGGTAACCCATTAAAGAACACACACTCCAAAGACAACCCAAAATGCTATTCAATCAAACCAGCTAAAAAAATAACAAAAAGGGAACATCTTGATCTAGTGCTACGAGATCAACAGCAGAGATCTGTTACTAAAAAAACTAAATACAAAAGAAGAAGAAGAAGAAGAAGAAGAATAGCAAAGTTAAGTAAGAAGCTTAAGTGAGCTACCTGAAAAGAAACGAAATGGCCTTTCTGGGCAAGTGATAGAGCAGTAGATTGAGCTGAATCGCCGAATATGAAGAAGCCTAAAGAGGAATTGCTCTGCTTTGTATGTGTGTTTAACGTGGGATAATGGTGTGTATTAAATAAAACCCAAAAAAAAAAAAAACTGGAATTGGAAACAATGAATGTGGTTTTTTGGTGTGTATAAAATGTATGAATAGTTATGAGGAAGCGAAATGGGTATCGAAGTGTTGGCTAAACCTGGAAAGAAAGAAAAACAAAACAAACAGCGCCGAAAGCTGCAAAGCCTGTTCTTCTTGTTGATTCTTCTCTCTTCACTTTCAGTCAAAGTTAGAAAAGACAGACCCAATTAAAAATTGATTTAATATTTATATATAAAATTATAGCAACAAAAAAAAAGTGTATTTATTTGTAATTTTCGTAAAATAGTGATATTATCTTCTTGGGACAATACACGGTCTCTATATACGCTGTTGTTGTTGTTGACTGGCCCTCTTTCTCTCTCTCTTTCTCTGTGTATAATATTTTAGGAGTTTGGAGAGGACAAGCTTGCCGGTTGCCACCAAATGGTGGGGGTCATATGGAAGAATGCTTCATGCTTTTGCAAGTCCTATCTTTGTCCTTTAGAAAGATTTGTAATGATATTTTAACATGCCAGCCTTTTCCATCACACTAATCCAATTATTTCTTTCTTTCCTTTCTCTTTGCTCGCTCTTAGGGTTAAGTATGCATACATTTCACTATTATGTAATGAGTTTCACGCAATTGTTATAAAGCTTGACACTTTTTTTTTGGTCGAAAGTTTTATGTTCATACAATAAAATTATGAATCGAGCAACCGAGTATTCAATATATAAGTAAGTTCGGCAAAACCTTTGGATGACTTGTTCGATCTCTCGATTATCTTTACATGAGTAAACTCGAGATAAGTAGCTAAGAAATTGGAAATCTAAGTGTAAGATAAATAATGCAAAATTATTGCCAAAAGTTTGTAGGTTTACATGCACTTACCCTAATAAAATGGTGCATGCATGTTTCGCAAGTCAAACCTTGGTTTGAAATTGGACTCGTTGCCATTTTCGTACCCATAACCGACATGTAGAATATCGGCCACGTAACATATTTATCCATTGATTTCCTTGTACTTTTCAATTTTTGGTTGGTAGTTTTCATTTCCTGTCAAATTCCAGTGATCAATTTGAAGTTGAAATATCAATTTATCTCATCCAAAATGTCGTTATTGACCCGAAAGAAAATGATAGAATTATACACCTGTGAGCCGAAGGTGTAGCCCAATAAAATTGTTGGGCTCATTGAATTCAATTCCATTGAGTCAAAACAAACGTCGGCTAGCTATTGCCATTGGCTTTGACGTTTGCTGGACCTTCTATTCAGTCCAAAACGCGCGTTTCCGTGCTGGCAACCCAAATATTTACTTAGCAACCTATACGACATGTCGTATGCCATTACATAATTATTAAAAGAAAAAAACATAAAATAAATAAAAGAGCCAGTTAAGTCAAGCATATATCATAGATTCATATATCTATATTTTTAATTTTAATTTTTTTTGGTTTGGTCTGGTAAACATATCATATATAATAGTTTAATTAAATACTGGAGACCCAATTAATTAGAAAATAAAAAAGATAGTGATCACTGATCAGGAGGAGTCGCGCAAGAAGCTTTCTACAATGTTGTTGAATTGTATGGGATTTTCAACTTGGGGTACATGCGATGTGTTCTTTATCACTTCCAGTCTTGTTTTGGGTCCAAGAAGCCTGCAATATTAATTCACAAAACCAAACTAATTAAGCACCTTGATGTTAATTTCTCACCAGACCAAACAAATATATCACTCCACGTAATTCCAATAAATATCATTAGTATTCATGTACCGCCAATTATATGCTAGCTTGTGTTTACAGGGGGAAACAAACAAATTGTTTTAACATAAAGGAAAAGTTGCATAAGTAGGTTAGGCTAGTTGGCTAGAGCAGTGAATCAGCCCTTTACACCTAAATTCGACTCCATTTCTATAGATTATATTAATTGACAATTTAGGCTATCATTCATTTGTATTATAAAAAAAACAAGGCTTTAATATCACAAAACGTCCCTAAGGTTTACGAAACTATCAGATTGCATCATTAATGTTTTTTGTGTCATTCATGGTTCTCAAGGTTAGTATGTGTGATCACAAATGGTTCATGCCGTTAGATTTCGTCAAAAACTCTGTTAGTTTGCTGATGTAGCATATATATATATATATCACAAAACATCCATGAAGTTCATGCACCTATCACAAATGGTCCCTTCAAAAAAAAAAAATTCATAACATTCTGGTTTTCTTTTTTAAATTTTATGAATTTTAAATTATTTTAAAATATATATTGTATTTTAAATACGCCTGACACTATATTTTTGAAGATGTGAGCTCTACATATATGCCACATCAACAAATTCATAAAACTTAAAAATGAAAAAACCAAGAGTTTAGGGTTCATAAATGGTCCTCAAGGTTAAAATCTTCTATAAATGGTTTTTTCAAATTATTTTTTAAAAACTTCATTAGTTTGTTGATGTGGCATATATGTGGAGTCCACATCTTCAAAAAAATAGTGTCACGTGTATTTAAAATACAATATATGTTTTTAAAAAATTAAAAAAAGAAAACCAAAATGTTATGAATTTTAAATGAAAAAATTTTAAATTTTCGCAAGAATCATTTGTGATAGGTGCGTAAACCTCAGGATGTTTTGTGATATAAATATATGTCACGTCAGAAAACTAACGGAGTTTTTGACGGAACCTTTGTTATCACACATACTAACCTTGAGAATCACGAATGACACGAAAAAAATATTAAGGATGCAATCTGATAGTTTCGTAAACCTTAAGGACATTTTGTGATATTAAGTCAAAAACCAAAGAAATGTTTTGGAAATTAATTTAATAAATTATTAGCTATTAATTGGCATATAGGAAATAAAAAGGGTACATACTCCTTGAGTTCGGTAGCCATCTCCAATGGAAAGATCTGGTCTTTATCTCCCCATACGATCAAAACCTCCTACAGCCAAAAATATTGCAATAAATTAATATACATAAATGATTTTTCAATGAAATGATAATAATAATAATACCTTGTTAGGAAGAGGAGATAGGTTTGGTGTGTCATCTCGTCCAAGTGTGAGTCCCTTTAGCAGCTCCATCTTTTCCTTCCTTTTATCTGAGTACAATTTCTGCATTCATGCCCCCACCAAATAATAAATAAAACCCATCTATTATATATGTATAATCATAGATTAATACTAATTAATTAATTAAACCCCCTAGCTGAAAACCATGACTAAGTTTAATTATCATGGGGTGGGTCCCGTCTGATCTAATCCAACCTAACTGATCAAGACTGATGAAGAACACTTATCTACAGGAGCATTTTTGCTCACCACTTTAACCATAGGTGTACCATCACCATCATCCTCAATGCTTGACACGTGTCAATAGGTGTAATCATAATTCCATAAATACAAAGCAAAAGTTAACTATGGTTATGTCTATAGACACATGTCAAGCATTGAGGATGGTGGTGATGGTACACCTATGGTTAAAGTGGTGAGCAAAAATGCACCCACTTATCTACCATGTGGTCCACGTGACACATGACCTTTGAAATTACATGTAAAAAGAAAAACAAATTATAATCAACATTATAATTATATAAAAATTAGTACCTGCACGATATCATTCAAGAAAAAACGGGGTATGACGTCAACACGCCGGGACATAGCAAGACCGATCAACGTCTGCAACTGCACAGCCGTCGCAGGCAGCATGAGATGTTCAATCTTTTCCAACTTTGCCCTCCTCAGCAACTTCTCGTTATCTCCTCTTCTCATGTTAACCCCAGAGCTGGCAATCACCACCTTCTCCACTCTCTCCGGCCACATCCTCGCCACGTGGTACGCCACAAACCCGCCGTAGCTCGTCCCAATGACACTGAACCTCTCCACGCCCGCCTTCTCCATCAGTTTCGCCACGGAGGCTGCCTGAAAGACCTCGCTTCTCTCTGCTGACGTGGTGGTGGAGTCGCCGAAGAAGACGAGGTCGGGGACGTAGACGTTGAAGCGGGTGGAGAAGAACTGGACTTGGTTCCGCCACTGCCACATGGCAACGGGGCCGAAGCCGTGGATTAGAACCAGGGAAGGCTTTTTCTGGGAGGCTTGAGAAAATTTGGGGTTGGGACCCCAGAATTGGAGGGTGGTCTCATTGTCGAGTTGTAGGGTTTGTTGCGAGAGGCCAGAGGCGGCGAAGCAACGGCGGACGTAGATGGCATATAGTGAGACAGGGCTGAGAAAGAAAGGTAGCATTGGATTGAATTGGATTCGGGGGATGTTGTTGAGTATGATGTGGGGATATCGACTAGGCCATGATAAAGAGTGTACAGTTTTTTTGTTTTTGTTTTTGTCCTTTCTGTTTTGGAGAGGTTGTTTGGGTGGTAAGGTATTTGAGCTGGTTTTGGGCTAATTTTAGAAGAAAATTATTAAAGATTAATGGGTGAGAGAATTGGGAAATATTTATTGTAAAGAAGGTGAAAGTGTGTGGAAATATACATGGGTGGTGATGGGGTTGGTTTGGTTGGTTTTTTTTTGTGTTCGTGTTATGTAGGTGTGATGATGACCCATACTTTGTCACGAGCCAACTTTCACCAAATTTTGTTGTCTTTAAATGATCTTTCAAGCCATTCTAGTTAGGTCGGATAGAATTTTCTAATCGTTGATATACGCATATATATGTGAGTCTTACAATAAGATTCATATGTAAGTATTTACGGTTTGAAAGTGTGTTAAACCGTAATATATGTTAAATTTATATTTAGCGCTCATGTGCATTTATGATGAAATCATCTACAAGGCTGCATAACACACATGCGAATGATGCAGGCCAGCCAGTCCCGTTCATGTATCAGGACATTAAGCTTAATTTTCATGGTATCTAATAAGATTTTAGTTGCTTAATTAGAAGAGATTAAGTATAACTTTTGAAGCAAGTTAACCGGTGGTTGTTAATTTAGATCCAATTGATTTGATGATATGCCATTACTACTCTTGCATGATCAACTTTGGTGGTTTGCTGGGGCCGGCCTTGCCATCAATATTGCTAAATATCTTTTCAACGACTTCTATTACCAGCCAGAAGTTCCATATGGAAGTCCAAGCAGCCACACGAAAATTCTAGCAGATTTTTTGTTTAAAAGCAAAGCATCCCTAGTGCTTTGTTAAAGTTGAAGTCGAAAGTCTACATTATCTGATTATACTACTTAGAAGATAAAGAAAAATGTTTATGAATTAATCAGTATTTATATTCATATATACATCCTAAAGATATCAGCTGGAATGAGATCATTGGCTAGATTCTTAAAAATAAATAAATAAATACTTTTCTCCCAACCAATTTAAAAAGATGGAATAAAAATAGAGATATTTAGTCATATACCCATTCTTAGCACTAATAATATAAATAAACTCGACACCATTTAATTTCTATAAACAAATCCAAAAAAATGACAGCTGACCCTATTTAATTTAATTTTGATTATTAAATTACTTTGATGCCCTATTGAGTGTTTTGGGTTTTTTTTATGAGGTTTTGTTTTAAGAAATCAATTACAGTTTTGTAATTTAAAATAAGTTAAAAGCCTTTTTGTTATGTTGTAAATAAGTTTTTGGTGTGTTTCTAAAGTCCCTTTCATATAGGTTTTTTTTATAATTTGGATTCATATATTGGGTATAATAGTGAATCTCCCATAAAAATATTGATAAACTGAATGTTTATTTTGTTTATTTTGATCGTGACGGATCATCTATCCAAAGAATTTTGAAGTGCTCTCACCTCCTCCTTTCTTCTCATAAAAATGGCAGAAACTTGGATCTTTCATTTTCTTCCGACCTTCGCGGAAGGAGAGCAGATTGTGTTTTTTTTTAAATAAAAAAAAACTAAAAACAAGTACCCTTTAATTATTATTATTATAATATTTATGCGTGACAAAGTAAAAGCTAAATCTGGGTGACATATTGCTATCACCCACCCAGTTATGGGTATAATGGGTTGGACTTACAAATTTATATTTTTAATATTCCACTGATGATCGATGGCTTTAGTTCTGATTTGAAAGAGTTTGGTTTTTGTGTATGCACCTACTACTGGTGCATGTTTGAATTTGAGCTTACTGATGGAGAAGGGAAGGAGAAGGTCAAGGATGGGCTTATCTTGCTTGACCAAAGTAAAAGGAAATGCCCACCATATTGCAAGCAAAGAACTTATGCAGTACTTGCTTTGCGCTTTTCTTTTTAACTTTTTCGTCTAAACTATTATTATTTCGAGAGAGGAATCGAATTTGTTGTAAGAGGCGGCACACAACCCTAACTCATTTTACTTGGTACAACAATGGTGCATAAGGTGAGCAGGCCAGGTCTTCCACACAATTCCAAACAAATATAAATAAAAAGTATCTGCCGTTTTCATCAAGTAATCCATTGTCGTCCAGCGGTTAGGATATCTGGCTTTCACCCAGGAGACCCGGGTTCGATTCCCGGCAATGGAACTTTTTTGTTTCTATTTAGTTTTAAACCCAAGTTTATTTCTGAAAGGCTAAAAACCACTCAAGGTGTTTGGTAAAATTCCCATGAGTAAAGTTAAGATAAAGTTGCAGGTAGATTGATTTGTTCACCCCATTCCCTTTTGACCAAAAACTCTAACTTCATCAATCAGCATACGACAAGGTCAGTACTGAATTATATTTTAAATTCCTGTCAATGCCTATCTGTGTACTATTTGATTGATTTTCAATATCGTTGTATATGGATTTCCAGTTTAGCCAAAAGACAGGTCAAGCTACATTAATTCTACAAATTTGGTATGTATGGCGTTGACGAAATACTACACAAATTGGTATTTGTACTGCAGTTGGCAGAAGCTGATCTTGACCTCTTAACACCTTACTTACTTAACCAAAATAATTTAGCACAACTCACCTCACCTGCCCCAAAAGATACATAATTGAATGAATAAAAAAGTATTCTGGTATGTCATATATATATAATAAGTCCCATTTTCTTTCTTAGTGGACTGCCTTAATTTTACACATTTAAGGGTTTTCTAATCTATTTTTTTGACTACTAGAAAAAGGACTTCTGCAAATTTAATCTAATAACTTGTTTGGTGATGTAGTTTGTATTTATTAAAAGATAGTTTGTATTTGTACTTAATCTAATAACTTATTGTAGCTGATGTGGCATACCCCACAAGCATTGGATATGTTGAATGATCCAGATTTTATGAAATGCGGGTAAATGTACCATCTCTAATCTCTAAATGCAGAGGTTCGGAATCCTCTGTTTATAGTTTTAAAAAGTCAAAGTGGTAGGCAAGTCATTGGTCATCCCAACAGATACAAAGACACAGATATGCCTTGGTAGAACTGTTGTGTGTATAAGATAATTAATAAGAATATTATCCTCTGTATAAATTGTTATTAACAATGCAATATATTATATAGTAGGTGACTAAATGATATGACGAGGTCTCTAAGCAGCCTTCATATGCATAATTGTCTCATCATTGCAAGACATTAAACAACTGCCATTCTGTTGTCTTCTCAAGATGGCTCATGAGAAGATCACATGGAAATGCATCATCCCAGGCTGTTACAAAAGCGCTGCACGTTTAGAAAACCGGTTGCAGACAGATTGCAAAAGAGCACAAATTCTAAAACAAAACCCTTTGCTGCAGAAGAGGCTTTCCCTCTCGGATATAAACGATGATCCCAGCTCAACGCTCTTTGCAGATGATCTTTCCAACTCTGTCATCGGCCTTAATCTTCATGTTTTTTCGTTAGCGGAGCTTCGAGTTGTCACAAGTAATTTCTCATGGAGTAATCTGCTTGGTGAGGGCGGGTTTGGACCGGTGTTCAAGGGGTTTATTGATGACAAGCTTAGGCCTGGATTGAAGCCTCAGCCTGTAGCTGTCAAACTGTTAGACTTGGATGGCTTGCAGGGCCATAGGGAGTGGCTGGTTTGATTACTATATGTTGCACATTTGACTTTCAAGTGACCATAGTGGCCTTTTTCATTTGAATAGCATTGCATTGTTTCTGTTGTTGCAGGCAGAGCTCATATTTCTTGGACAGCTGAGGCATCCTAATCTTGTTAAGCTGATTGGATATTGTTGTGAAGATGAGCACAGGCTTCTTGTATATGAATTCATGGCAAGGGGAAGCTTAGAAAACCAACTTTTCAGAAGTGAGTTACTTTCCACTTCTCTTGAAATTTTTTGCTATAATCAATCAGCGGCCAAGCTTATTGAACGAGTTGGATATTGCTGTGTCTATTGACTGATGTCATGTGTGCTATTTCTCGCTAAATGTACTGCAGGCTATTCTTCTGCTCTGCCGTGGTCGAAAAGAATGAAAATCGCTGTTGGGGCGGCAAAGGGCCTAGCCTTCCTCCATGAAGCCGATCATAAGCCTGTCATATTCAGAGATTTTAAGACTTCAAATATTCTGCTGGACTCTGTCGAAAAGGATGAAAATCGCTGTTGGGGCGGCTAAGGGCCTAGCCTTCCTCCATGAAGCCGATCATAAGCCTGTCATATTCAGAGATTTTAAGACTTCAAATATTCTGCTGGACTCTGTAAGTTATTTCTTTCTTTCTGAGCTCTCTTATATTGTTGTTGATGGCTATGTGATCTTTGTCACATAAAAAAGAAGAAGTATAGAAGGTAGTAAGATTGATTTTGAATTAACTTCTTTCCCTTTCAGGATTATACAGCTAAACTTTCAGATTTTGGGTTAGCAAAGGATGGTCCAGAAGGAGAAGACACACACATAACCACACGTATAATAGGAACACAGGGGTATGCAGCCCCAGAATACATCATGACAGGTAAACCCAATAGCTATTTAGGAAAAGACAAGACTCTAATAAATCTCTCATAAGTCATAAACTAATCAAGTTTAGCACCTAATTAAATTCAGGTCGATTGACAACCAAGAGTGATGTGTATAGTTTTGGAGTTGTTCTGTTAGAGCTGCTGACAGGTAAACGGTGCATAGATAAAACCCGCCCAAATCGAGAACAGAACCTTGTAGAATGGGCAAAGCCTCGCTTGAAGGACCCCAGAAAGCTCGACCGGATTATAGACCCAACAATGGAGGGACAATACTCCACAAGAGGGGCTCGAAAGGCGGCTGCATTGGCTTACGCATGCCTGAGCCACCAGCCAAAGAATAGGCCAATGATGAGTGATGTGGTCATGATCTTGGAGCCTCTTCAGAACTTCAATGAGGGGTTAATTGTTAGGCCATTTGTTTATGTAGCACCAAATGAGGAGGATAGTAATAGTAGCATACAAGGCATTATAACAAGTGAAGCACAAAAGGATGGCAAAGAAAGTTGGAAGTAGTGTACAGTCTCCAAATAATTTGTATTGATTGAGAAGAAAGGAATGACTCTGCTAACGTCAGTCAATCATTCGCACGAAATTTCTGATCGTTGATACATGTCGTCTCCGCATCTCATCAGCGGGCAACTGAACATACCATATCTCAATAAAGGATTTCAAGATTTCATGACAGTGTATTTTGCAAACTAGTAATAAAATATGGTGAAAAGCCAGCATGGATATGGTAATGATATCATGTTTATTAATGATACACCTGATTTGATTAAAAAATGCTACACTTGACTGTGTGAATTGACAAAAACCTAATCATATATCTTAATCTAAGGGAAGAATTCCAAGTTCCAATAGCAATATACAAATCAAGAACGCAGCCCCCTCTGATAACGTCTTCACTGTAATATCAGGAATTTCAACACCTGCCCACCAATTCATTGCTTGAAAGCCTTCACCAACCAACCAAGTAGGCCTAGCTTGACTTCATTTTTCGGTGTTCACTATAATATGAAAAATTCCCATCCCATGTCCTGTTCTGAATGTTCTTTTGTTCATCGTCTCTCGTGCTTACTAACCTTCTAGACCAGCGTGTGATGTTTTCTTCATGACATATATTAAGTTGAAGAAGACAAAATGGAACAACTGGTTTTTTTTTTGTTTTTTTTGTTTTAATCAAAGAAATGGAACAACTGGTTAGAAACTTACGGGTTTCTTCCGGGCTTCTAACCTTCTACATCTGCAAAAGTTATCCACCTTGCTTACCTTTTTATTCATTTTAATATGAGATAAAAGTCATCCATGATATTTCATGTTAATATTGGTAAAATGGAGGTTCATTGCCTAAGATATAAGGATTTTTAAGTTATTGTCACACCTCTCCATTTTGTTATCGGTATAATGTTAGCCCAATAGTAGATAAACCTCCTTTTGTGGTTCACTAAGTTGCCTATGTATATTATGGGGGGGAGAAAATAAATAAATGTCCACCAAAGAACTGAGGTAGAAACACTTCAATCAGCATGAGGTAGGTAGTCTTCTTTTAAATGATGGTTTTGTATCTTTTGCTGCGGTTTGCAGCGATTTCATGACCTTTAGCGACAAAATTAGGGTTTCAAATACGGAAAGATGCTTTAGCAGCGGATTATTTCATCGCTAACCGCAGCTAAACCAATAATTACTAGCGAAATGTAGTTTACTGTCTTTCCCTCTCACACATCGTAATTTTGGGACCCTACTCCAGTTTGAAAATGGACATCTTTTATCAAATGGTCCTTGTTTATGAAAATCTCATGCTAAATTATTTTAAAATTTAGCTTGGCATCATGTAGTCAAATTAATCAATTTCTTTTTTTCTTCTTTTGTTGTCCTGCATCACTCACTCCCACGAGTAGAAAAAAAGAAGAAGCCAACATTCAAAACCAAAAAGAACAGCACGAAACCCCCATCATCACCTGCACAAGCTCTTTGCCCCATAACACAGCAGTGTAGGTAGGAGCATTGGGCCTCGTCTTCTTGTCAAATGCAAGTACTTTAGTTTTGTTGATTTCACTATTCAACTGGATCCGAGATGAGGTCTTCTAATTCATCAATAATGGCATCATAACAAAAACAATATTGCTCCGGTTTCTGGACCATTCCATCTCGCTGAGACCTAAATCTGGTTATTGTATTAACTAAATCTAAAGCAGACTTGTCCCCAGAAATAATTCTCTGCAATGTGTCATGAATTGTGCAGTATGTTCCAGTTCTCCCAACACCCGCACTGCAGTGTACCACAATTGGACCAGAGTCGGGTATGGCAGGTGCTACTTGATACATTGCTCTTTTCAAAATTTCACGAACAGCAATTGTGTTTTCGGGAACTCCATGGTCAGGCCATTGAGGATACTGAATATGCAAAACAGACATGGGTGCTTCCTCTGAGTCTGACTCTACCTTATACTTCTTCACCTCCAAAAGGCGCAACACTACTGAATTTCCATCTCCAAATTCACTACTTCTTATCAACTTAGTGGCTATAGATATATTCCCAAATTCTCTATGGCCATCATCACCTTCTGCCTGAAAATAATCTCCACATTTATTATCATCCAAGTCAGTAAGCATGACAACTACAGAGCAACGGTACTGGATTACCATCTCCCAAAAATCCTCAAAGGTCTCTGAAAGTGGACCTTGTGTTGCAATAAAAGAAGAGGAACATGATGTGATGAAGCTAGCATTGATGTAGTCTCCTGCTGCAGAATAGTTGAGAACAACCCTATTTTCGTCAAACGCTACGTAGTCATCATAACGGTTTTTGCTAAAATTGACTTTGTTGAGAGCCACAGTGCAACGCTTCTCCGCCTCAGATTGTGTTATATAAATGGCATCTAACTGATCCCACTCTTGTTTGATCTGTTCAGGCATCTGGAGCTTGTCCTTGAAGAATTTGAGAGCCAATGAGCAGTACTTATACTGATGGGGAGCGAGGGTGAGTCTCCTTGGCGGCGGAGCATAGGCCAACAACTCCAAAGAAGGGAGGGCGTTCGTTGCAGCGGTAGCCATTGTAAGGCGATCTCCTGTGGTGGGGAGAGCCCCTTGAAGAAATGTTCTCCGGTTTCTGGGATTTTCCCCGTGCGGTCACATCATCAACCTTGGTCTTCGACATCTCCCTCATCCTCTTGGTCTTCGGCATCTCCAGATTTGCGTTATATAAGAAACTGATGACAAACAACCAAATCAAAACTTCATTGACCTTGAGCTGTATTAGAAACTCCAAAAAAACAAACATTAGAAAAGATAGGACGCTGAGCAATTTCAAACATTAAATATTTACAATTGTTCTCAACAAATTTTCATATTTCTCAAAGACTGGATGGTGACCTCGTTACCAATACATTGAGTATTTCTTTCTCTAGATACAATCATGCTATTAGTGAGCCATTGAACTCTCACTCTACTAGGCATTACATCCTTACAAAATCATCAAAACAGATTGCATAAATCTTAATTTAATCGAAATCTTAGTTAAATACCCACAACTTCGTTTATAGATTGACATCTTAAGTTACACAGCCAGCAATACCAATATCAAAGTCACTTCTTCAAAACACATTCAGTTATAATCATACATTCACAGCCAATGGGGGCAATTGCCCCTAAAATGAATCCGCCATTAATGTGACTGTTATTGGGTAATCTTCTCTGGTTAATTTCATGATTCTAATAAACTTTTGAATCTATTTCACAAAAAGCATACCCAAATTACAGATGACAACAGAAAGGAAACGAACCCACAACGCAATTGCATACTAGGGAAAGACAAAAAAAAAGATGCAAACTTTGAATTTTTACAAAGTTCAATATGTGGAAAAAAGAAAAAGAGAAGAGCTGCTTTCAACCAATTAGATATCTATTGTAAAAGCCAGTGCTTTCCTCTTCTTTACTAACTCGACAGAGCTGTCATGGCGGCTACGGTAGTGCGAGCGACGACGTCGTCTGGGAATTTGGTTTAGGGATTGTTCTTTTGTGTCGAATAGATTTGGGGATTTTGTCAGAGTGACCCGCACAGACGATAGCCCTGTGTGATTAAAATTCAAATTTGGGCGACAATCGCATGCATATAATCGTCATTTTTCTTTTGTTCAAGTTTTGTTGTGGTCCAAATATGCGGGTGTATGGGGTAATGAACCCATCTTGGGGCTTTTTTTTTTTTTTTTGGCGAACATAGTAAATTCGTTGATATGAAGGCAGATACAAGATCACATAGAAAGAATAAAAACACAATAAAGTAAAAAAGAAAGTAGAAATAACACAATAAAAACAACCAATGCAAGAATAATGAGCAAACTCTATATTTAATTAAACCCTAACTCGCTGAAAGTTGAAGATGATAGGATCCATAAGAACTCAGGAACCAGTGTTGAACAGAGATCATGTGGAAAACCAACTCTGAAGCATCCTTGAGACTGGAAACACCAAAAAGTGAAAGAGCAATTACCACTCTAATTCCACCTTGACTTTTAAAGGAAGTCATAGTATCTCCAGCAACCCCTCACGATCCCACAACACCAAAGAAGTAGATCCCACCAGATCCATCAACTCCATCTCCATGGAAAAGGTCTTAGAACCACCAAACCCTTAAAAATCAATAGCACAAACAACAAGAGGGCAAAGGTGGAGATCTACCAAGATCAAGCAAGATCAGCCCAAAAGGTTGAGAAACAGCCCCTAAAAGGCAATGGGGGAAGACAAAAGCTTGCCAAAAGGCAAGAGAGCAAAATCCTAGCAAAAAACTGGGGGAAAAAACTCTCCACAACATAAAGGGAGGGGAGAGAAGCTCGGTTTATTAGCCGAAAGGAAATCAATCCAGGGGAAACCCCGTGGATTCAAAAGAGTTTGCAATAGCTTTATGAAGGTTTTTGGGTTGAAGGAGAAGAAGAAGAAGTTTCAGAAAGAGAAGTCATGAACCCATCTCTTTTTGGGCTTTTAAACTTTTGACTATTGGTTTATTTCCAAATGGGTAAATGGCCGAAAACCCCCCTGGACTATTTCGACTGTCGAAATGTCCACCATGGAATATTTTTTCAGCCAATTTAGCCCTCGGATTATTTTAAATGGTCAATTTAGCCCATACTGTCAAGTTTTTAGACCTCCATCCAATTTTCTGTTAACTATAAGGGTAAATTTGTCATTTTACAAGGACAATACTTCCACACAAAAAAAGTGAAATCATGATTTCTTCTTTCTTTTTTTTTTTTCCCGTTCTTCTTCCTCTTTTTTTTTTTCTTTCTTCTCTCCCTATCTACTCCATATCTGCGTCTCTCTCTCATTTTTCTTTCTCATTCTTTTCTCTCTCTCATTTTCTTTCAAGAATCCGATTCAAAGTAGGCGTTGTCTTCTTCCCCAAGTGCACAACGCCTTCTCTACAACACAGATGCATAGATATGAAATCCATTCTAACACCGCCTCCCTCCCCTTGCTCGTCCGCAGGTAACAAAAATTAGCAAAAGAAATTGATAGCAAAACCAAATCAATGGACACTTAGCCAACACCCAACACCCACGGTCTCAAATAAAACAAGACCCATAGTGGTTGAGACAAATCAAACACCAAATAAAGTTCATTGCAACAAAAGAAATATACAGAACACTCTGTCATCTCTAAATTTGCAAGTGATTTCACCAATTCTACGAACAATATGAAGACAGCAAAAAGTTATTATAGAAGGACATCTGAAATAGTCAAGTGTGTAAAGCAAGGACATCCAAAAAGTTATTATAAAACACTTACAGGTGAGTAAGGTTCCTTCTAGGAACTCCTACCTTTGTTTGGATGGACCATAGGCCTGATGCTAGGAAGCAAGAAATGAGTGTGAAAAGTGCAGATTCAAATAAACCAAAGGATTCTTTGCCAATCACCCATAAAAATCATCCAGAATATCCAAACACTGTGAAATGCAATCCCTAAATCCCATTGATCCAATCAAGAACAAGTAGGTGTCGATGAAGATGAAAACATATCTTGATTCTAATTATATGTTTATTTACACTGACCAACCATTAGCATTCACTCGAAAGCCCTTGTGGATGTGGGATTGCAGATATAGTCTTGGGAGGAAGGGGCTGGGGAAGACGATGATTGCCTTCCCCTTTTTTTTTTTTTTTTTTTCTTCACTTTTGTAGTTTTAACAATTTAATTATTTTAAACTTAAAAAAAAAATTAATTGAACAGTGAGTCACATGCCTATGTGACATTTAGACAGAAAATTGGATGACATTGCATGAAAACTAACGGTAGGGGCTAAATTGACCATTTAAAATAATCTGAGGGCTAAATTGGCTGAAAAAATATTCCAGGGTGGACATTTCGACAGTCGAAATAATCCAGGGGGATTTTCGGCCATTTACCCTTTCCAAATAGACCAGAATGTTTTTTCTTTTGTTTTCCATTTTATTTTGTTGTTGTTATCTTTCAATGGTTTTCATTTCATACTCCCAAAAAAAAAATAGTTTTCATTAAGGGAGATTCACTATTAGAGCACTTCCAACAATTTGTCCTTTGCCATGGCAAGGGAGGGCTAGGGCAGCTACTATTCACGTGAATAGTTGCTGCCCTTGCAAAAGGTTGTAGTGTTTCCACCAATTGTCATGGCAACAACTATTCACATGAGATATGAGGAGATAAATTTGTACAGAGTTTTGGTGTGGGAAGTGAAAAATATGACTAAGTATTTATTTAAAAAAAATATGAATTTTTTCGTTTTTTTTTAAAAAAAAATTGTGTTGCTGACATCAACAAACCCAAGCTTGAACTCAGGCTGAACTCCCCCTCGTGCCAGCCCAGTCTTGTGGCCCCCACCTCCTGCTCGGGTTAGCCCATGCTGCTGGAAATGTGTTTTTGGCCCAAACCCCCCCCCCCCACAAAATCGTGCTGCTGGACTTGCTTTTATACTCAATATAGGGGCCCAAATTATTAAAAAAAATCTTATATGAAATGGACTTTAAAAACACACCCAAAGCCCATTTACAACATAACAAAGAGGTTTTTAACTTCTTATAAATTACAAAATTGCCATTGATTTCTTAAAACAAGCCTAACCCCAAAATCTCATTTAAAAAAACCCCAAAACACTCAATAGGGCATCAAAATTAAATTCAATAGGGCAAGCTGTTATTTTTTGGGTGTTTTTTGGGTTTGTTTATAGAAATTAAATGGTGTAGAATTTATCTATACCATTAGTGCTAAGAATGGGTATGTGACTAAATACGTCAAAGATGCTGTTCTAAAGCCTTTGTAATCTCCCTACATGCAGGTACTAACGGTCTACATGACTCTAAGATATGACCCTAATACACAAACTCAAGATTCGCTATGAGCACGTTCCCATACGGATATGTTTCTAAGTCACATGACCATTGTCCAAAAAAACTAATAGAAAGTAGAGAATATATATATACAGTTATTCTCTTATCTGGATGTCCGCACGTTATTATCGTGCAGATCCTATTGTAAACAGGCAGGAAAACAGAGAGGGGTAGTACAGAAGGCACGTTATTCTCCCTCCTATTTCTCTTCATCAACACACTGCTAAACTCTTTCTTTTATCAGACCAAAAAAACTTCTTGATCTTTCTCTCTTTCTTTCCAAAAAAATTTGAAATCCCTTGTGTAGCATGAACTTTTTGTTGTTAGAGTTACTGCTGATAATTTATTAATTAAGTTATGTTAATCCGTTATTATTTCTCATAACACATTTCCATCACAACAACCACCATTACCTAATAGAGAGAGAAAACATAGGGAATGAATGAATGTCTATTCTGAATGAAGCAAAAGAACCAAAGCATCAAGATAGATTTTTCTTTTTTCTTTTTTTGAATTAAAACTCTAATCTCAATTGATCAGAGAAAGATTGTCCAGAACAATTTGATGTTTAACAGAACAACTAAGAATAAGGACTTGTCTACCATATTTGCTTTAAAGCTCCAAAGAAAGCAACACAAACTACAAACCTAACCAGTGAACTTAGATAAGAGAGGTCCTGTTCCCCATCTTTTCTCCACCACCTCTTGATTGGGTGCTGGGCAATAAGGCTATCATTTCCTTTCTTGTATGGTGACCTTGTGTAAGGTGTGCTTGAGAGCGTTCACCATGGCGACGGCTGCCTTGTCCAGAGATCATTAGCAGAGAACAGTGAGGGAAGAGAGAGTGAGGAGAGAAAAAATAATAATAATAATTTGTGACAGAAATTTACCCTTTCGAGAAAATAGAGAGAGGAGAGAGAAAAACATTTTAATTTATTTTTTATGTAAAAAAGTTATGTCAGATTTAATCTCATCCATTAAAAGTGGAGTAATCTAATGGCCTGAAAATTGTGTCAAAACTTGTGTCAAAAATATGGTGCCATGGATCCGCTTCCCTATATATATATAAGGCTCAGGCCTATACAAAGTACAATGATGAATTAAAAAAGAAAAAGGAAGGAAAAAAGGGCGTACTAACCCATCTTCACGATAAATTAAAAAGGCTCGAGCCTAAACAAACTAGAACTAGTGATATAAACACCAAAATACACATGTATGGAAGTCCAATCTTTCTTATTTAGCCCAAAAAGGAAATAGTAAATAAATGACTTCTTGATACATGAAGATTGTATATATCCTCAGCAACAAAGTAAATATTGTAATAACTTATTGATACGTAAATTGGGTGACATGATTGTAAATGTGAGTTAGGCCAATTTACTAAGGTAGTATGCTTGTTCCTTTATAGCCGAATTTGAACCCTCTCTCCATATATTAAAATAATTTAGTATATTGTCGTTGTGAATTATATGACATGATTTTAGTAGTTTTCAGTCCTAAATAAATGATCATGTGCATGGTAGCAAAATAAATAAATAAATTGAAAATTAAAAACGATGTATTTGCCCAAATGAATCATGTTAAAGAGCTAGAGAATTGTTGTTAATCCTGCAACTCCTTCGCCTCTAAGATTCGAACCCACGCGGAAACACTTGAAAGTTAAAGCAGCAGAGAATTGCATTAATCACTCGACCAAAGTGACCACTGCCGTCACAACATAAATAAGAACGTTTTGAAATTCTGTATCCACAGACTCGGGCCGAGTATCTGACTGTATTGGCGCGATCGAATCATAACAACTACAAGCAGAGAAAGAGATTCACAGAGAAGAAAATGGCGGCGACGGGGCAAGTCGCCGGAGGACTGACGGCGTACGATCGCCAAGTGTTGACCGCAGTCAACGCCGGAGCGGCGAGCCTCTCATTCGTCGGGTCGGGCTTCATAGTCCTCTGCTACGTTCTCTTCAAAGAGCTCCGCAAGTTCTCCTTCAAGCTCGTCTTCTACCTCGCCCTCTCTGTATGTCTTCTCTCTCATTCTGTGAATTTTGCTTAAAATGATAAAATTGCGTCTGTTATTAGATCTAATTGCTCGATTGCCGGTGACGTGGTGTTTTCTATTTCTGGACACTTGAGCTTCGCTAAATACTCGGAAATTGAACTTAATCTGTAGCAAATTGCATTTGATTACTTTAAAATTGTTAGAAAAATGTGCAATTTCTTAGCTTTATGTAGTGGCTTTTACTTTGGTGACTTGAGCTTGAAAGATTCAACATAACTCTTCTAAACATTTAGGATTTAGGGCTTTGTTGTTCTTTAAGACTCGCTTCGTTCTAGTGTTTAGCTTAAAGTTTGATTAAATTGGGAACAGAAGAAAGCCATTTTATTGTTATTGTTACCGTCCACATGGTTAAGAATATTTATTGCTTATTTTGTTATGCAGGATATGCTTTGTAGCTTCTTCAGCATGGTTGGGTAAGCTCGCTTCCCAGACACAAGTGCAGTCAGATACTATAACAAATTTATCTGATTCTGGCTTTTAAGTGATATAAGGGAAGTTAGTTGCTCTTTTGTGCAGGGATCCATCCAGAGGATTTTTCTGTTACTCGCATGGCTATAGCACTCATTTCTTCTGTGTAGCATCTTTCCTATGGACTACCACGATTGCGTTTACCCTCCACCGCACCGTTGTTAGACACAAAACGGATGTTGAAGATATGGAGGCAATGTTTCATTTGTATGTCTGGGGTATGACCTTTTTATGTTTTGCCAAATATCTTTCATTTTGCTTCCAGTGTTATAGAAAACTTAGCTTCTTCTTATGTTACTGCTGTGAGAGAGAGAGAGAGTAATGCCATTAGTTGTTATATTTAAACTGTGAAGCTCATTACGGTTCATGTGCTTCTATTTTCTTTTTGTTTTCACAGGGACTTCACTAGTTATGACTGTGGTGCGCTCTATTGGTAATAACCATAGCCACCTTGGAACATGGTGTTGGTCACAATCAGGGCGTACTGGAAAGGTAAGTGCACAGTACCTATTGGCTGCAAGAATGTTGTCTGAAGACTGTATGTTTTTGCTTTCCATTCCAGACTCTGGGAATTTCTAGAGTTCTTCTGCAATTAGTTGGCTTTACAAATTACAACTCCTTGAACCTCATTGGTTGGGAGGAATTCTTGATGATGTCTGGGAGAATATTTTTAATGTCGAAGCTGCTGTCATTGATACCCCAAATGCAAATCTTTTTGGCCAGATACCACAAGTGTAGATTAAACATGTAAAAATCAATGATAATGGAGTAAAATCTATGCCCTACTCATGCTAATCATCACATGCACAATGATATCTACAATTGGACTATGTTAATCCTGAATATGTGTCAGAGTTCTCTACTTCCTAATAGTTGAATTTCATTAATTCTTAACATGTACTACTAGTAGATACAAAAATAAGCTTTGGCTTTACAAACCTGTCATGTGAAACCAACAGTTCATTTATAGAACTTGCAATTTTAGGCATCCTTAAGTCATTGTTGCACAGTTGGTCTAATTGGAGTTCTATAGCTGCCTGATGTAACTGAGTTTTCATCACTGCACTCTAATTTTTCCACCCATTCTTACAGGCAATTCACTTTATAACATTTTATATGCCACTCTGGGGTGCAATTCTTTACAACGGTTTTACGTACTTTCAAGTGATAAGCATGCTGAAGAATGCAAGACGAGTATGTATTCCCATTATCATTTATTTTTTCAGCCAAATAATTTGAACTCACTTTAGTTTACACTTATTGAGATCATAGTTCGGCTTTGAAAATTATAGATGGCAGTCGGCATGTCAGACCGGACTTATCAATCTGATGCCAGAGCAGAAATGAAGGTATACTGTCTTGCAACTGGTTTCCTAGGGTCAGACTCAGACCCAGTTCCCAAATATATAGGCATAGAAATGAGGGAATGAATATGCGAAATGGATATTTATTGATGTTTCTTTAGTTTTTGTTATTAGCGGTCCCATGATTCATGTATGTATTATTTGTATGCTATATCATTTAAATGTACCTGCAATGGTTTCTCCAAAAAAAAAATTATTGTATCTGCAATACTTCCTCTGAATTATTTCTTATTGTTTCCATTCAACAGGCTTTAAACCGGTGGGGATACTATCCCCTCATCCTGATAGGAGCATGGGCTTTTGGCACAATCAACCGCATTCATGACTTTATTGAACCAGGTCATAAAATATTTTGGCTCTCACTTCTTGATGTTGGGACATCTGCACTTATGGTAATTTTTTGGTTTGTATAATGGGCAATTTATTATTCCAAGAGCATTGTTTGTAACTTAATGCTGTCTAATTTACTAATTTATGGCTTATCCTGATGAATATAGGGCCTGTTCAACTCAATAGCCTATGGCTTGAACTCCTCAGTGCGACGGGCAATATATGAAAGGTTGGATCTGTAAGTTTCAATTGCTTCTTCTTTTTTTCCTTTCCATTGTCTATGTCTCAAGGGCAGTCTCAAGGGCAGTAGGCAATATTTGATTTTATTGTCATCAGTCTTGTTCAAAATGATGCATTATTCCTGAATGAATGGTTGTGTTTGGAAATTATTAGGTTTTGGCCAGACAGACTTCAAAGATGGTTCCCAAACAGTTCAAGGTTTAGAAACCAACAGCAAGAGAGTGAACTAGTGGCACTGAAAATTGAAGATCAGCACTAGCAAGTGGGACATATTTTATCTGCACCTACCAAAATTTTCAACATTTTCTCATTAAAATTTGACCTGGACGGAATTAAGAAATGAAAGAGGAACACATCGACGTACATCGGTGCAAAGTCAACTGCACTCATTTCTCTCTGGTGATTCGAACACGACTAACATCTTCAAACTCTACTTGTTCCATAATGAGATTGATTGAAATTGTTTTGTGATAGATGTGTCCATAGAGGGTTGTTTCAAGTAGAAGAATCTTGTGTAGAAGCTGTGATTGTGCAAATATTGACCCATTAAGCTGTATTACCTATAGAGAAAGGGCTGGAATGGTCTTTGTCTAGGCATTTTATTTCGTTCCAATTTTTCATAGTTATGTACTTGATTTAGGTACTTGAATTTTTTTCCTAATTTAAGAATAGGAAATGCCTTACAAGGCCAGGCCCAAACTTATTGCGCCATAGTTTCTGTCCGGGCTTCTTCCCTAGTGTTATCCAAAACGACAATGCAACCTTCGTCGTATCTAAGCAATCCTCATTTCATTTCCGCCCTAAACACCAAGCAGAAGTCCGACACGCCAGCGCCGAAACGACGGCCACAAGCTCGCCACCTTCACAATTTACTGTCCTGACTTTGATTGGTATTTACCTTTTTTACCACAATAATTTTGACCAAAGTGTTCCTTCTGCTTAGAAATTAAGCACAAATCACAACCATTCAGATTTTATATAGTAAGAAAATTACATTACAGATTCATAGAGAAAACGGCAAATCTGCAAAGCAAATTGCAAGCTTTTGATCATATCTAAAATCTAAGCACAAGCGCAAGGATTATCAACCACAGTTGCTGCCACATCATCGTCCCCGCTCCTAAACGCCAAGTAGCCAATCGCGAGCCCCACAACGATAGCCACAAACACGCCTCCGTTAAACGACATGACCGCCAGCATCAGCAGGTACCCGATCGCCGCGTTCACCCCGAAAAGCACGGCTCCACCAAGCCGAGCCGCCGAGAACCTCCCTCCGGCGCCGCCGAGCTTCGCACCGAGCAGCGGAGTTTGGATCGGCGCCGGCGAAGAGGCTTTCGCGGCTGAAGACGACGCTGTCTTGAGCCGCACGCGAAGGTCCTCGAGGTACTGGTAGAAGGCCGAGACGATGAGGCAGGCGATTAGCGTGAGGGAGTAACTCGTCCATGAAGTGGTCCGCCAAGAGTCGATCAGGATTGTCACGTCCTTGCTCCAGTAGAAGGTCATGTGCATCATCTTCGCTTCGATTTTGGGGACGACGGAGTTTGGAGAAGAAGACTTGCGAAGACCGGTAAGAAAGAAAATTGATTATTTTTTCCTATTTTTTTCGATTTTTCTATCGCTTGTTTATGAATTTTTGATCCATTGGTGTGTGTAGTACAACTACTTTGTTTGGTACGATGGTGATGTGCGGGTTTAGGAAATGCCCTCGGAAGTTTCTGTTATTACGGTTTTGTCTCGTTGGAATCTCGTGGGGCTTTGTATCTGTGGTCTGTTTATTGGTCTTGGTTCATTTGGAATAACAGTGTTTGGAAGGGTTAGTTTGGAATTTAGAAGATATGGGCCAGCTAAGCGTCGTTTGAATCGAAACTTAACAGTTGGACGATGCACTGGAAAACCAATTATGAAAGCTGATTTTGACTGGTTGTTGGTAAATATTTGAACAAACTGTAATTTTAATTACTCTACTTTGGCAAATTACATAATTTTTTTATTTGTTTCATGTATTAATTTAATTTATTCATAGAAAATAAACATAAAATTTTATTTGTTTCCTGTATGATAATTTATTTTATTGATTGATGGGATAAAATAAAATAAGGGAGATTTACTATTATACCAATATAGGGCCCAAACTATATAAAAAAAACCTACATGAAATGGACTTTAGAAACACATCAAAGTCCATTTACAACATAACAAGGATGCTTCGAACTTTTTATAAATTACAAAAGTGCTATTGATTTATTAAAATAAGCCTAATCCTAAAACCTTATAAATAAAAAAACCAAAACACTCAATATAACATTAAAGTAATTTAATAATCAAAATTAAATTCAATAGGACCACCTGTCATATATTGGTTTTTTAAAAATAGGTTTGTTTATATATTTTTGTTCACCATTTTAACCCAAAGTGTAAACTCATCACCCTGCTTACTACTTGACATGTGTCCTTTGACATAATCATTGTTGTATTTATGAAACTATAATTGTGCCTATAGACACGTGTCAAGTGTTGAGAATAATGATTATGATACACATTGGGTTAAAGTAATGAGCAAAAATACTCCCGAAATTAAATGGTGTAGAATTTATCCATATCACTAATGCTAAGAATGAGTATATAACTAAATATATATATATATATATATATCTATATATATAAAGCAAAAGGCAGAGAATGGTGAAACATTCAAAATACCAGAAAATGCCCTTGGTTAATGCAAATATTAAGAATTGAAATTATTAATTAAATGAGGATAAAATGGTAAATTCACACTTTTTCATATTAACAAAATTTTAAAAAAAAAAATTCAGATAATGGATCCTCTTTTTATGGAACACAACTACCCATTATCTTTTTTAATTCTAAAATAAATTTAAATTTTTTTAAAAAAAGCCTCTCGCAGGCGCGGAAGCGCATGCAGAGAGGCTAGTATATATAAAGCAAAAGGCAGAGAATGGTGAAACATTCAAAATACCAAAAAATGCCCTTGGTTAATGCAAACATTAACAATTTAAATTATTAATTAAATGAGGATAATATGGTCAATTCACACTTTTTCATATTAAAAAATTAAAATTAAAATTAAAAGAAAAATCAGATAATGGATCCTATTTTTATGGAATACAACTACCCATCATTTTTTTTAATTCTAAAATAAATTTAAATTTTTTTAAAAAATGTCTCTTGCAAGCGCGAAAGCGCGTGCAGAGAGGCTAGTATTTTATAAAATAAAGTCGAAAATGTAGTACAATTGAAATGAATCAAAGATAGTAAAGATGTACTGCAGACAGTACACATTGCAGCTCCATTACTTGGTTCCGTACCCTAATTCGCCTTGGGCGAAGCAATTTCATATCAAAGACTTGGCGCACGGTTTTTCTTTCGCAACATTGACATAGTCTTCCTCCAAGAGCTTCAGTTGGGCTTAGGACAACCAAACTCCCTATATCAAAATACTGAAGGAAAAACAAAAGCATTGATGATTCAAATGAAAATTTCATGAATAGTCTGTGGTGATTTCATAACCTTGAGAGTGAATAAGACTGCCTGAACCGAGAAACGACTGAGGAAGGCCACAACTGCTGGCTGCTGGAGATATATTAAGGCTGCAAATAGAACACCTGGTACAACAGTAAATAGAAAGAGCATAAATAATCAAAGAAATTGTATTAGTAACCAAAAATTAGAGCAGTTGAGAGAGAGAGAGAGAGAGAGAGAGAGAGAGAGAAGCGGATTCTTACCATTTATGATGCTCTGCACAAAGAAGATTAGAAAGTATGGGAATGGGACTGAAAAGTCAGAGAGGCACATGTTGATGCAGCTCAGCCCCATCTTCCCGAACCCGGTATCGAAGTCAAGAACCACACCAACATTAACTGGGGTGGTCTTGGTGTTCTGTGGCTTGGCCAAGAAAGTAGACCAAAACAGTAAGAACAAGAAGCAGGAGACAAAAAACAGGGTTGCAGCTAGCATTCTTGACCATGTTTGAAATTCTTCAAGGTTCTGCTTTGCAACTGATGGAATCGAGTAACGGGGAATCTTGTTTATATGCAAACACACAATTGAATAATGTCAAATTGTCAATGTTTGAGTTTGATTCATTAATTTGTTCCATCTAAATTGATTTTTTAAATCAATGGGACTGGGACACGTCTGAAGCCAGAAACATTCGAAGATATGCATAAAAGAAACATTCATATTGCTTAGCTTGCTCATCAAGTGTAGCAAGTGTGTGTGTGGTGGCCCACCAAGGCACACGCTCTTAGTCTTGTGTTTACCAAAACAAGAACATCTTCAAGTTTAATAGCCAAAACCCGATTAAGAGAAAAATATGCCAAGAAACACAACACAAGCATGTATTGTAAACAAAACTTCAAATCAAAATAACTATTATAAGAAGAAAGAACTTGTACATTTAGATTGATGTCAATGAACAAAAAGTGGTCTTCAACCAACCATCCCCTCAATCACAATGTCAAATAAGAGAATTAGCCCCCACTGCATTGATCAAAAACTAGCTAATCAAAACTAATTAAAAAAGTTTAAAAAAACTAATTGAATTAGTTAAACCCAATTTCCGCTAAACTTACCACCACTATCTTCTAGCTACTACTACCAATCATTATTAATTTTTTTTGAATCAACTACTTCCTTTCACCACCGGCGCAAAGCAGCTCTTCGACCTCGAAAG